GGGGGGGGGGGGGTGATGCAGCAGGCAGGGTAGAGTCAGAGGCCGTGGGGACATCGCCTGCCCTTGTGCCCCGCACAGCCTGGCACCCCCCGGAGCCACCGTTTGCCCCAGAGCTGTTTTTCTTTCCCCTGCAGCCGCTGGCAGTTCGGGTTTGGGGCGGGAGGTGGGGCTGGTGGCTGCCCAGCGGGGTTGGAGGGGGCCACGGGGTGGTGACAAGGACCTCTCCAGGTGACAGGGCGCGAAGGGTGCCTGCGGGCTGTGGTGGGCTGCAAACACCCCCCGGACTGTGCACATCACGTAGGCACCAGCTTGACTTGCTCCATGACCATGCGGAAATGCAGCCGGCGGCCCAGCGGCAACGCCTTGGGTCTCAGCTGTGCCACCAGCCCCTGGGGACACGGAGCCTGGCGGCATCCCCACGGCCCTGAGCAGGGGGACAACTCGGCTGCCCCACAGGGGATTGCCCACATCCATCCATGGCATGCCCCAGCTCAGCCACCCCCTGCTCACCAGTGCCTGTGCTTCATGGGGTGGGGGGGTGTCTCCTGGGGTGTCCCCAGGGCGGGGGGACTGCCACTGCCTGTCCCCCGCAGACATCATGGCTGACAAGGAGGGGGTGACGCTGTCACTGGAGGAGGAGGAGGATGCCGACGTGGCCCTGGCGTACAAGACGCCAGAGAAGAAGAGCCTGCGGGAGATCCAGGAGCTGGACCCAGGGGACGAGAGCCTGCGGAAGTACAAGCAGGCGCTGCTGGGTGCCATCCCTGCTGCCGTGGGTAAGGCCAGGGGCTGCCTGCTGGGGCTGGGCACCCCGGCACCCCAGCTGGGTGATGCAGCAGGGAGCTCAGGTGTCCCCAGCAGGGAGGGCACGTCCTGGCTGGCATCGCCCGTGGGTGCTGCCTCTGGCCCCCACCTGCGCGGAGACCCCGGCATCCCCCTGCCGACACGGTAACGGCTGCCCGGGGACCCCGGTTGCCTTGGTTACAGGATCACCGCTGCAGTTTCCATAGGAACGGTTACAAGGGACCGGGAAATTCATTAGGATGACAGAGACTGAGCGAGCAGCCACGAGGGCCTGGGGTGGCACGGCTGGTGGGGCAGCACCCACCCCAGCCTGATGCTGCCCCCGGTGTCTGCGGGGCCTGGGCCAGGTTGGGGTGCTCCACGGGCCCAGCACCCTGGTGTGCTGGCCGATGGGTGCGTGGTGGGGGCAGGGGTGGTGTGTGCAAGCTGGTGAGGTGGATGCAAACCAGTGGGGTGCATGAGGTGTGCATGATGGTGTGTGTGCAGGCTGATGGGGTGCAAGTGGGCTGGTGGGGGGTGCAAGCTGCTGATGGGGTGCTGGTTGGGCTGTTGAGGTGCAACGAGGCCAGCGCCCACCTTGAGGGATGCCTTTGCCTGCCTCCTCCTCCCCACCCACCTTGGCCTGCTCCCAAGCCAGGGAGCATCGCACCCCGGGAGGTACCTGTGGCTGGGCCCTTTGAAACGTGGTCTTACCCCAAAGGTGTTGATGCCAAGGTTGGGGCTGGCCTGAGATGCCCCCTGGTCTCCTGCGCTCTGCCTGAGCTGGCTCTCACCGGCTCCTAACACCCCCACCATGGGCACCATGGGCCTTCATGCCATTACAGGGGGCATGGGCAGCCCCCAGGTGCCGGTGGTGGCGGGATGGGTGCGGGTGGGTAAGGGCTGCGCCGCTTGTCCCTAGATGCCAGCGTGCCCAACGTGCAGGTGACGAAGCTCACCCTGATGTGTGAGCAGGCGCCGGGGCCCATCACCATGGACTTGACAGGTGAGCGGTGGGGGCACTGATGGGAGGAGGAGAAGGAAGAAGGGGTGCCAGGCTCATGAGCCATCTCCTCATGCAGGAGACCTGGAGGTGCTGCGGGGCCAGGCCTTTGTGCTGAAGGAGGGGGTGGACTACAGGGTGAAGGTGTCCTTCAAGGTGAGGCGGGTGCATGGTGCCCTGTGTCCGCTGGCTGGGCTGGGCACAGCCCTGCTAACTTGCACCCCGGTGTCACAGCCCCATGGGGTCCCTCCTTCCCATGGGTTCCTTGCTGCCCCGAGGTCCCTGCACCCGGGGTCCCTTCCGCCCTGGGGCCTCTGTCCCCCCACCCCTCATCCTCAGGGTCCCTGCCCACCCTGGGGTCCCTGCCCTCCGGGGTCCCTGCCACCCTGGGGTCCTTACCCCTCGTGGGGGTTTCAGCCACGTTGGGTCCTTGCCTTTCCCAGGGGTCTCTGGAGGTCCCTGCCCCTCCCAGGGGTCCCCGCCCCTCTTGGGGGTCCCTGCAACTCTTGATCTTCCTCAGTGCCCAATCCTGCCCAAGAAGCTGGATCCTGGGGGGGGGTGTGCAGGATGGGGCTTTAGAGGTGGGTCCTGCCCCCCTACAAGGCTGGGGTCCCCAGGGTGGGGGGCATGAAGCTGTGGGGCAGCACCCATGGTGCCCCTGCCCTCTGCCCACAGGTGAACAGGGAGATCGTCTGCGGGCTGCGGTGCCTCCACCTCACCTACCGCCGGGGCCGGCCCGGTGAGTGGGGTCGGGGGGCTGGGGTGCCGGCAGGGGGGCCATGCCATGCTGGCCCCGCTCACCTGTCCCCCCTCTCCCCTTCTCGCCCAGTGGACCGCGACGTCTTCATGGTGGGCAGCTACGCGCCGCGGGCTGAGGAGTACGAGGTGGTGACACCGGCGGAGGAGGCACCGCGGGGCTGGCTGGCACGGGGCTCCTACCGCGTCCGCTCCCTCGTCACCGATGATGACAAGATGGAGCATCTCTCCTGGGAGTGGGGCCTCTGCATAAAGAAGGCCTGGGAGGACTGACATCCCCCCCCTCCCCCCCCACCTGCACCCCCGTTCCCCCCTGCCAGCTCGGGGAAGCGGTGCCTGCCATCCCAGGGGACACCTCGCCGGCACCACCGCGCTCGCCCGGGTTGTATGAAGGGGGGCGGGGGGGGGTGTCTGTTAGCGAGCGGGTGCCCACAGTCGTGGTCTTCGCAACCAAAGTTATTTTTAATTGCTGTTTTTTTTTTAAATACCGATGCCCGCCTGGTCCCTGCGGCGTCCCCATCGCTGGGGCCGGGGCCGTGACCCTGCCGTGGTGGTGCTGTGCCTGGCTGCCCGCCCGGTCGCAGGCTGTGCTCTTCCATCGCCATTAAACCCTACAGACTGGTCTCTTACTGGTGTGTCCATGCCCGTTCTGCCCGTCTTCTGTCCCTGTCCCCATCCCGCTGGCAGGGCCGGGTCCCGCTGCAGGGACAGGCGGCTGGAAAACAGCCACCTGGTCCCGCCGCCTTATCGGCAGTGCCCGGCAGCCAGTAACGGGGGGGCCCGAGGCCCCAGGGGACTGGCACCACCCGCCCCGGGGGCCCTTATCTGGGTCCTTTCCCCCTGGGTGCTGGCTTTGGCGACAGCGGTGGCACCATGAAGGGCTGCGGGGCCCAGCTGGTTTGGCTGCTGGTGCTGTCGCTGGCCTGGCTGGGCCTGGCATCGGGGAGCGAGGAGGAGGATGGGGAGGTGGTGGCAGAGGAGGAGGAGGAGGATGACCTGCCGTCGGATGAGCTCAAGGAGGAGGATGGTGTCCTGGTGCTCCACGAGCACAACTTTGCCCGTGCCCTGAGTGAGCACCGGCTGCTGCTGGTGGAGTTCTGTAAGTGTCCCCCGGATGCAGGCAGGAGTGCAGGCAGGGGTAAGGGCAGGGGTATATGTGGGGATGGGTGTGGGCAGGGGGATGGGGCACGGAATATTGGCAGAGGTACGGGCCAGGGGCATGGGTGTAGGTGTGGGCAGAAGCAGATATGTGGGCAGGGGCGCAGGCAGAGACACGGGTGCAGGATGGGCCACAGGGGGTTGGTGGGAATGGGGCAGGGGCATGGGTGCAGGCAGGGGTAAGGCTGTGGCTCAGAGGGGCAGGGGCGCAGGGCATGGCACATGACAGGGCAGGGACATGGGGAAGGGACACAGGCAGAGGCATGGGGTGGGGGACGTGTAGCAGGGGCATGGGACATGGCAGGGGACATCGGGCTGGGACACATAGTGGGTGTGGGGGACATGGACCATGGCACAGGGGACACCGGAGCCCAGCAAGCTCATGCAGCCATTTTGTGCCCTGGCCACCCATCAAGCCCACCCGAAGGACCAGGGACACACCAAAGCTGTCCCCACCATCGACGCTGTCTCCTGCCCACAGATGCGCCATGGTGCGGGCATTGCCAGCGGTTGGCCCCAGCCTTCGCCCAGGCGGCTGCCGCGCTGAGGAATGAGTCCAGCCCGGCGTGGCTGGGCAAGGTGGACGCCACGGCGCAGGTGGCCCTGGCCAGTGAGTTCGGCATCACCTCCTACCCCATGCTCAAGCTCTTCCGTGATGGCAACCGCACCCACCCTGTTGCCTACACCGGTAGGGCTGCAGCGCTACGCGATGGCCATGGCACCCATCATGGGGGACGCTGTGATGGGTGCTGGGGTGGGCTGGGGAGCAAGGATGCGTGGCAGGGGGTGATGGTGAGAGGGGTGGCACTGTGCTGATGAGGTTTGCAGGGTGGTGATGGTGGGCAGGTGACAGTGTGGTAATGGTGCATGGGGTGATGGCAGGCAGTGCTGCAGTGGTGATGGCAGGTGAGTGGGCTGGTGGCATGGTGGGGTGGCCGCCTGGTGGGGGTGGCCAGGGTGACGGCTCCGTGTGCCAGGCCGCATGGACGCTGAAGGCATCGTGCGCTGGATGCAGCGTCGGTCCGGCCCCAGCGCCACGCTGCTGCAGGACACCGACACCGCTGCCGCCTTTGTCAGCTCCCAGGACTTGGTGGTCGTCGGCTTCTTCAAGGTGGGCTGGGGCAGGCAGGGGCCAGAGCTGGGCTGTGGCCACGGCTGTGGCCACTCATGGGGTGGCCCCACAGGACCTGGAGAGTGAGGCGGCCCAGGCGTTTTACGATGTGGCCAGCGAGGTGGTGGACATGCCTTTTGGCGTGGCCGAGGCGGCTGAGCTCTTCCAGGCGTACGGGCTGTCAGCTGACACCATCTGCCTCTTCAAGAAGGTGAGGGGGTGGTGGTGGGGGTGGCGGGGCCATCCTAGTTCCCCCCCGCTCCCAGCCCTCACCAGCCCCTGCCCCAGCAGTTTGATGAGGGACGGACAGACTTCCCCGTGGACCCAGTGCGGGGGCTGGATGCGGCTGAGCTCACCCAGCTGCTCCGCGTCCACAGCCTGGAGCTGGTGATGGAGTTCACCAACGAGGTACGGCCCAGCCACAGCCCTGTCCCCATCCCTGCGAGGGCCATGGTCCCTGGCCCTTACCCTCCTCCTGCTCCCCAGACCTCCAATCAGATCTTCAGTGCCAGGATCCCCCACCACATGCTGCTCTTCCTCAACAAGTCGTCATCGGCACAGCTGACGCTGCGAGATGGCTTCCGTGCGGCTGCCGGCGCCTTCCGGGGCAAGGTGAGGTGGTCCCATGGCAGGGACATGGCGGGGGTAGCCGTGGGGCACCCTGGCATCAGTGCTGCATGTCCCCAACCCAGGTGCTCTTCGTGGTGGTGGACGTGACCGGGTATGGTGCCGATGTCCTGCCCTTCTTTGGCCTGACGCCCGCCGATGCCCCCACCCTGCGCCTAGTCAAGATGGAGAACAACCGCAAGTACCGGATGGACCAGGACACCTTCTCGGACACAGCCATACGCACCTTCATCCAGGCAGTGCTGGACGGCAAGGTGAAGGTGAGGGATGCAGCACCGTGCTAGTCAGCACCAAGTATGTTTCCCTGTGGTGAGCGGTGGGCTGTTAACTCTGAAGCCTAATGATGGCAGTTGTGCCACCTGCTCACTGATGCTTGTGCTGCCAGACCTGAGGATTTGGGGGGGGTTGTTACGGGAAAGGAGGCAGGAGACTGTTGATGTGGAGACACACAGAACTGGGATGGTGGAAGAGGTGGTCCAAAAGGCAGCACAGGAGCACCCCCAGCTGCAGGCTGGGGGCCCCCATCCCTGTCCGGCACTGTGCCCCATGGGGCCCTGGCACCGCTCACCCCGGGCTGAGCCGTGCTGCCTGTCCCCACAGCCCCACCTGCTGAGCGCAGAGCCCCCTGAGGACTGGGACACGCAGCCTGTTAAAGTGCTGGTGGGGAAGACCTTCGAGCAAGTGGCATTCGACGAGACCAAGAACGTCTTTGTCAAGTTCTGTAAGTGCCGGGGCCTCCCACGGCCCTCCCCGAGCTCTGCACAGGGCTCAGCCCCCCGCTGTGACAGCCCCCAGCCCCGTCCCCAACCCCTCGCCTGGGGGATGCTGCACCCTGGCCCCAGTCCCTTGGCTTGTACCCTGGCACCGCGCCTGTCCCGCAGACGCACCGTGGTGCTCCCACTGCCAGGCGATGGCAGCTGCCTGGGAGGAGCTGGGCGAGCGCTACAAGGACCATGAGGACATCGTCATCGCTGAGTTGGATGCCACGGCCAACGAGCTGGAGAACATCACTATCAATGGCTTCCCCACCCTGCACTACTTCCCCGCAGGGCCGGGCAGGAAGGTAGGTGGGGGCACCCACGAGGCCACCCCGGCTCTGCCAGCACCCGGGGGACAGGGTCACTCCTCATCTCCTTTCCATCCCACGGCTCCAGATGGTTGAGTACAAGAGTGCGCGAGATGTGGAGACCTTCTCCAAGTTCCTGGAAAACGGGGGGATGCTGCCCGAGGAGCCGCCTGCGGTGAGTGAGGGCCCCCCACCCCAGGGACCCCCACCCACCCCAGGGCAGCTCCCAGCCTTCGCTGGGCAGGGGGACGGATCCTGTGGGATGGGGACAGGCAGGGGGTGTGTGTCCATCCGTGCCTCACTGCTGCCTTCTCCAGGTGCCCAAGACCCCTGAGAACAGCACGGGTAGGGAGGAGCCGAGTCCGCTCGGGACGGCCGAAACCCGGGATGAGCTGTGAGCCCTGTCCCGCTTGGGCTTGTGCTATAAATGACGTGGAAATGATGCAGGCTCTGCTCTGTGTCTGCGGCTCCCCAGCGTGTCTCAGGAGCACCTGCGTGTCTTGGGGACACAGCAGGGCCAGGGGGGTGCTGCAAGGGGCCCTCTGCCTCCCCAGGGGTGCTGAGCCGGCATGGCCCCGGGCATGCCGTGGTGCAAATCCTGGCAGCCCTGCGATGACAAGGGGTGGCCAAGGCTGCGGAGGACATGGCCCTGGGGCAAGCAAGCCTGGCACTCTCCATGCTGGCCCTCGTACTGGGCTGCAGGGGTGCAGGTGACGTGGAACCAGCCGAGGTCTCTCCTTCGTGGCTCCCAGGCAGCCCTCCCGCCCTAGGCCTGGGCTCTACAATCACATACCACCCCCAGGGGAGCCCCAGGAGCTGCTGTCACATCTGGGGAAGGCAAGAAGAGCCCAAGGCAGGGCTCCACACGCTCCTCAGCCCTGGCTCGCAGCCTCTGGAACCCCCCAGCATCCCAGTCCCTGGCACTGTCCCCTCTCCCCTGGGGCTGCTGCTCCCAGACCCTGGGGGATTCCCCCGGGAGCAACTCCTTCGTCCCCCAGGGCCAGGACCTGCCCGGCCACCCCCCGAGGGAGCCCACGGCTGCCCCAGCCCCGCCACATGCCCAAGCCTGCGGGCCAGAGCAGGACCCTTCGCCTGACCCATCCCATCCTCCGGCCACCCCAGCCGGCTGCCGGGGGCCCAGGTGCCTGCTCTGCGGGGAAGGAAGAAACCAGCAGACGATGGGACATGGAGTTTTATTTAGTTTTATCCAAGTACCTTTGAAAAGATCATTGTACAAGTCAGCACATGAGAATGCAGAGGAGACATGGCCAGGGTTGCGCGTCCGCTTTACATATTTACAGGGGACCCCCTGAGAAAAAAAGGGGGAGTCGTCAATCCCAGGCATGTTAACAACCTCATCAGACACACCACCATCAGAACTTAAAAAAACAGGGAGGAAAAATGCTCGTAACGCTGTTCCCAGGCTGAAAACGATTGCAGGTTTTGCTGGACTTCACATAGTGTGTAGGCAAGTCACAGAACCGTGTTTTAAAGGCACTCGGTGACATATACAACAGGCTGAGTCGCATCCCGGCGCAGTGCACAGGGCCCCTGGCAGCTCCAACGTGCCACCGCGGCCAAGAGCAGCACCAGGCAGGGCGAGCGCCGACATGGAAGCCCCCCAGCTTCAGGGGCCACCCCGGTTTCTGTGGGTGGGTGACGGCTGG